TTAAGAGTTTTCTTACAAACCACTTAGTCCTTTTTGTTTTGGAAAGTTGTATTTATTTGATTTGGTGTCATTTGAGTTTAAGTGAATGTCCTTTTGTGATTCATTTTTTTAATTTTCTGATTCTTTTTTGGGATGAGAATGGAAATGTGAGATGTATAAGATTCTTTTTGGGGGATTGGTGGTTGAAGTATTGATTGTCCAGCATGAAAATCAGCATTTCTGTTAGTGTGATTTTTTGGTGTTACATTGGAGTATACTAAAGAGTTTTTGTGTGCTACATTGATTGAAGTGTTACGTTTGGAAAAAATACAGTAATCAATTTTTTTGGAATGTTACGTTGTTACGATTGAAAAATTACACTAAAGAGTTTTTTAGTGTGTTATATTGGAATGTTACTTTTTTGGAGTGTTACGTTTGAGAAAAGTATATTAAAGAGTTTTTGTGTGTTACATTGATTGGAGTGTTAAGTTTGAGAAAAGTACACTGAGGAGTTTTTTTGGAATATTATGTTGTTACGTTTAAGAAAAGTATACTAAAGAATTTTTTTAATGTGTTACATTGAAGTATTATATTTTAGAGTGTTATATTGAAGTGTTACGTTTGAAAAAAGTATACTACGAGTTTTTTTGAAGTGTTACATTTAGTAATTTCAATATTATAAGAAAACTCACATTTATCCTTCAACACATAACATACGCGCGTTTATCCTTTGGCGCTTTATATAATTCACATTAGAATGAGACATTTTGGTCCATAAGAAAAAATAAAGGACTAAATAGTTCATAAGATCATTGTTTGGAATTTATTAGTACTTTATCCAAAAAAGTAAACAAAATAAAATAAAAATAAAAATATATAATGCTAAAAATTAAAAATAAAAATAAAATTGATTATAATATTGTAAAATTTTTTGAGTATATCAAGAGGTGCGTCTTGACGAGGAGAGTCCAAACCTAGAAAAACCAGCTCAAAAGGAGGTCTCACGCCACACGCCTCCACGTGCAGCCTGAAATTTCACTGGAAAGTTGCTGGAAAGTTCAATCCGGCAAACAGAGAAAAGGTTGAAGAAGACCAAGTTAAAATAATTTAAACAATTTGTTTGAGAAGCATTTAGCATAAAAATTGTTATGATAAAGTGGGTTAAGGTGCTTGCTAAGTACTTGATCCAAAGTTTGAATCTCTAAAGCGACAATTTCCACCAAGGATTCTCTAGAGCGAAATTTTCCTAAAATTTCCTAGAGTGTTATATTGTGTGGTTCAGATTTACTGGCAAGTCACATCAGAAAAATTGATGTGACTTGCCAGTAAATCTCAACCACACAATGTAGCACTCTAGGAAACTTTAGGGAAAAATCACTCTAGAGGATCCTTGCTCGACAATTTCAAATTATTTTTTTAGGGGAGAGGACGATGTCTGTGTGACATAGGGCTGATGTCAACACACAAAGATGGACGAAGGCATTAATTGTGAGAAGGAAGTAATATCAGGATTTTAATTGTTAAAATTAAAATATTGGGGTTTCAATTGAAAAACACAAAAAACTAGTTTTTTTTTTTTTTGTAATTTGTCCAAAAATAAAATTAAAAAAAATAAACACTTTAAATTAAAATTAAAAGAAAAACTAACAATGACTAATTTACACAGCAACAAATTAAGATTTTTGAAATAAAAATTTAGCAACAAAACCACTTTTTAAAACTGAAATATCTTAGTTACAAAAAATGTCATTGTTGTATATTTAAGACAAAATTAGATATTTAATAATGAATTATTATTCTTTTGAGATTAAAATTTTTATCACAAAGATAAACCTTTTGGTATGAAATTTTTTCTCTAAAAATGCATTTATTAGTGACATTTTTAATTTTTGTCGCTAAAGTTTTTTTTAAAAAAATTTGTAACAAATTTTTCACGAGGATTTTTGCAATTTTTCTTTTTTTTTTTTCATAAACTTTTTGGAATAAAAAACTTTAGCTCTTAAAAAATTTATATGTTGTAATATGTATCAATTGACGATAGCACTAGGAGTTGAATGGTTTAATTCTTATTCTAGGCAAGATTTCCACTTCCTTAAGCAATACCATTTTGACAATCTCCGTTTTGATAATTCAAACCGTTCATTTTGTTGAATATTTCGTGCATTTTATCCATAAAAAAAATTAGGTCGATCTGATAACTATAACTAGTTCTATTTATCGTATTTGTCATAAAAAAATATATGGTTTATTTTTTTGTTGTCTATTTTTTTTTTTTGTGAAAAATATGATAAATTGAACTAGTTACAATTATTAGGGGTTGTTTGGGGTGTCCTAAATAAGTGCACTTTTTGTCTTTTTGGACTAAAAAGTTGAGGGAAAAAATATGGATGTTTGGGTTAATTTTTTGACTTTTTATAGAAAAATGTGTAATAAAAAATTATAAAAATTGGTTTGTAGAGGAAAATTAGGATTGAGAGTTGTGCAGCCGTAATTGTTGACTTTTGGTGAATAGTGTTAACTTTTTAACTTTTTGAGTAACTTTTTGACTTTTTTTAAGTATCCCAAACTTGGCCTTAGATTCACCTAATTTTTTGTATAAATAAATTACATAAAATATTCAATAAAATGAACAATTTAAATTATTAAAACAGAATTTATGATAAGACACAGCCCCGTCCGGTCCAAAACAGTGACGGGAAGGGATATGATCCATACACCATTGTATTATAGACAGAATTTCTTAGATATCTTTTGATCGGGTACTTAGATTATGGTTTATCCCTTTCATATGCATCAATCTGCCAGGATCTTATTGGCCATCAATTTGACAAAATTGAGACTCCTACACTTCCTAGTGGAGGATCCAAACCAAAACTATCGAAAGAAATACCTCTCCATGTTCGATATAAAAAAAAAATACCTCTCCATGCTCTATTATCTATAAATACCTCCCCGTGCTCTTGCAGCTCTTCATCCCTCCATCCTATTACTGTCTTTCATAGCTTTCTATTCTATTAATAACAAACAAGCCTACAAGACAATGACATTCTTGCCCAATACACTTCCTGACCACTTTCTTTCTTTCCCACCCCTTTTACTCTGCCTCATCATCCTTGCATTCCCCACTTTTTTTTATTATGCTGTTTTTGCTTCTTCCTTAACTGGAAAACAAGCAACTGAACCCACGGCTCTCTTGACGTGGAAAGCTAGCCTTCACAACCAAACTCAAATTCTCCTGTCCTCCTGGGTTGGAACCAATCGTTGCACTTGGCTTGGAATTCGTTGCAACAAGGCCGGTAGAGTTGCCCATATAGACCTTCAGAGTTATGGTTTGAAAGGTACTCTTTCTAATCTTAATTTCTCATCATTTCCTCATCTCCTCTCCCTTGTACTTTTTAACAACTCACTTTATGGGACCATTCCCCCCCCCCATATTGGTAGCCTTCGGAGACTCACCTTCCTTAGCTTGCCTCTCAACAATCTCTCTGGAACAATTCCGACCGAAATAGGCCAACTGACTAATCTAAGGATCTTGTGTTGGAAATGGTTATAAAATTCTGGATAAAACCAGAATTTTTTCCTAAGTTTGGTCTATTTTTTAGGTGGGCCCCGTGCGTCAATTTTCACGGGTCAAAGTGGTAACACGTTCTATGCCGCGTTGTGATTCTCGTGGTATATTTGGTTGCTCAAAATCATTACCGAGTGAATGGGAAATTCAAGCCAAAGTGTGCTCCATGAAAATGGAGTTTTGGTGGAAATTCCTTAAGGTTGTAAATTGGCTTGTCCCACATTGATTTGGTGGGAGGTTTTGAAAGGGTTTATTAAGGCTTGGGTTTGATACTTGGGGTGTGCCCCAAGGGGTACCCAAATGTTTTAGAGGGAGAGGTTATGGGCAAAATGGGCGAGACCCATTGGACCCAAAAATCACCACACACGCGCACCGTCGGGCGGGCTGAGCCTAGGCTTGGGCGCGGGTGCGTGGTGTGAGGTTGGGCTTGTTCGGCCGAATATTAATCTTTTTTGGGCCAAAAACATTTGAATTTAATTTTATTTTTGGTAAAATAAAATCCAGAATTCAAAATTAAACTGGTTTGGTTTTACTATACATCCAAACAGGGTCATTCCCGTTTTTAAACCGAAATTAAACTGGTCCGGATTTATTATACACCCAAACAGGTGCGTGGTGTGAGGTTGGGCTTGTTCGGCCGAATATTAATCTTTTTTGGGCCAAAAACATTTGAATTTAATTTTATTTTTGGTAAAATAAAATACAGAATTCAAAATTAAACTGGTTTGGTTTTACTGTACATCCAAACAGGGCCATTCCCGTTTTTAAACCGGAATTAAACTGGTCCGGATTTATTATACACCCAAACAGGGCCCTTTCCATTTTTGTTATCTGTTTGAATTGTAATCCAACAGATTCAAATCTGTTTGAATTCAAAACCAATAGGTTTCATACCTGTTCAATTCAAAACCTACAGCCACTATTACATCTATAAATAGGATAGCCCTCATTTGGATTTCAGAACTCTAATTTCCGTCCTTCATAATTCTGCAAACATCCTCTTCATTTTGCTGCATTATTTTCTTGTCAGAGAGAGTATAAACATTTAGTGTGTTCGTTAGGCAAACAATTTGTAGTGCTGCTATTGTTTGTAATAGATCATTTTATCCTGGGAGATAGACGTCCAAATTCTGAAAGCACCGTGGAGAGGACGAATCTGTCTTAAGGACACAGTGTCAAACACTGGACTTGATCATATTATAATTCGAAGAAATCAAATCAAGTAAGTTATTTAATTTATTTTCAGTGTTATGATTATTTATTTAAATTAGATTTTAATTTTGTTTTTGTAACAAAATAAAATCTGTTTTTATTTATTTATTTTTATTTCGAGTTTGATTTTTGTAATCAAACAAATTCTCTCCTTTCCTTTATTTCTTTATATTCTGGTTGTTGTTTAGTACACAACAGAATTTAATTTATCTAAATACAGTGAAGATTGTCCAACATCTTGTACCTGAATAGAAACCAAATCGGTGGCTCCATCCCAGAACAAATAGGATTGCTCAGCTCTCTTAATGAGCTTGGCTTGGCTACTAACAATCTCACGGGTTCAATCCCTTCTTCAATTGGAAACTTGGGTAACTTAACCATTTTGTACCTTTATGACAACCAACTTTCCGAATCAATCCCTCAAGAAATTGGGATGCTGAGGTCTCTCGTTGATCTCGCACTCTCAACGAACAATCTCACTGGTTCAATCCCTGCATCTATAGGAAACTTAGGCATGTTAACCACGTTACAGCTTGATGGAAATATTCTTTCAGGACTCATTCCTTCGACAATTGGAAACTTGATGAAGTTGAATGTATTAGATTTAAGTCTAAATCCATTATCAGGCTCCATTCCTTCAGAGATAGGATATTTAAAACAACTTGGTTATTTGATATTCATTGATAACCAACTCACTGGCTCTATTCCTCCAGGATTGAACAATCTTACACATTTGAAATTTTTTCAGATAGCTAACAACAAGCTCGTTGGTCATTTACCAGAAAACCTATGCTTTAGTGGATTACTCACAATTATTGGTGCAACTGACAACAATCTCACTGGTCCCATCCCAAAAAGCTTGAAAAATTGCCATAGCCTACATAGAGTCAGGCTTGAAGGAAACCAACTGTCAGGCAATATATCAGAAGATTTTGGCATATACCCAAACTTGGATTACATTGATTTGAGTCGCAACAATTTTTATGGTGAGTTATCTACAAACTGGGGAAAATGCCACAATTTAACTAGTCTCAAAATGTCTAACAATAAAATTTCTGGTAAGATACCATCTAAATTAGTAGGGGCAACTCAGCTATTCGTTCTTGATCTCTCTTCAAATCATCTAGTTGGAGAGATCCCATTGAAATTGGGAACGTTGGTTTCACTATTCAACCTTAAGCTGGATGATAACTATCTATTAGGCAATATTCCTCTAGAATTAAGTAAGTTGTCCAATTTAGAGAACCTTAACTTGGCAGCAAATAATCTAAGTGGCTCAATCCCTACAGCACTAGGAGAGTGCAAGAAACTTTGGAACTTGAATTTGAGCAATAATAGATTTGGGGAAAGTATTCCTGCTGAAATAGGTCGTATCCATAACCTTCAAATTCTTGATCTTGGTCATAATTTGCTAGTAGCAGATTGGAGAATTGCAAAGGTTAGAAACATTGAATCTCTCCCACAATGAATTCTCTGGTTTCATTCCATCATCTTTCAATAATATGTTCTGTTTGACATTGGTAGATGTATCTTTCAATCAGTTGGATGGTGCTATTCCTAACATCAGAGCCTTCCAAGAGGCTCCATTTGACGCACTCAGAGGTAATAAAGGTTTATGTGGTAATGCTACTAGTTTGAAAACTTGTCCAGCAAAATTGAACAATGGGGTAGCTAAGAAAAAGAGTAACAAACTCATGTTACTAATTGTTCTTCTTTTAGGATTTCTATTTCTTTCATTAATGGTTGTCGTAATAGTACTCTTGATTTTTTGTAAAAAATATAGAAACACAAAAAATGAGCGAAGACGAGTAAATAATGAAAATTTGTTTGCAATTTGGAGCTATGATGGAAAAATGGTGTATGAAAGCATCATTGAAGCGACTGAAAACTTTAGTACCAAACATTGTGTTGGGAAGGGAGGATGCGGTACTGTTTACCAAGCTGATCTCACAAGTGGTCAGGTAGTTGCTGTGAAGAAACTTCCTGTATCACCCGATGGTGACTTGGCTAATCTGAAAGGCTTTACGAGTGAGATCTGTGCGTTAGCAGAGATTCGCCATCACAATATTGTAAAACTTTATGGCTATTGTTCACACCAAAGGCACTCGTTTTTGGTTTATGAGTTCTTGGAAGGGGGAAGCTTGGGAAAGATATTGAGCACGGAGGATCATGTATTATACTTTGATTGGATTAAGAGAGTGAATGTTGTCAAAGATGTGGCAAATGCTTTATCTTATATGCACCACGACTGTTCTCCAACAATCATCCATCGAGACACGTCAAGCAAGAATGTTTTGCTTGATTTAGAGTACTCGGCTCACATATCCGATTTCGGCACAGCTAGATTTATGAAGCCTGGCTCATCCAATTGGACATCATTTGCAGGGACCTTTGGGTACGCTGTTCCTGGTATGTAATGTTCATTTTATTTTATCAATCATTGCATATTAAGGGATTTTTAATCATGGATGTTATTTCACTCAAATTGTTTTTCTTTTTTCTTTTTCCACCATTGTTTTTTTTTTTAATTACTATTTTCTTCTCTTCGTTATTTGTTTGATTTGGTAGAACTTGCTTATACAATGGCAGTGGATGAGAAGTGCGATGTTTATAGTTTTGGGGTGCTAGCACTGGAAGTGATTATGGGGAAGCATCCGGGTGATCTAATCTACTCTCTGTCATCATCGTCATCCTCTTCCTCATCCACATCAACTGCGCATGGGATATTATTGAAGGATGTGTTGGATCAACGTCTCCCAGCACCTGAGAATCAAGTGGCAGAGCAAGTATTTGTGGTTGCAAAACTAGCATTTGCATGTTTGCAAGCCAATCCACTATCTCGGCCAACCATGAGACAAGTTTCCATGAAGCTGTCACATGATCGAAAGTCACATCTGCAAAATGAATTCCACGTGATCACATTGGGACAACTGATATCAACTGCTCAACCTCTTGAGTATTTGCCTTCTATCCTTGGACTATATGTTCATGTTTTCCATTTTCTTCTTAGATTTTTCAAGTTCAACCCCCATTTCTAGTCTATTTTTCTGCTCTTTTATACTAATTAGCATTTTACAAAAACTTTTTAATGACTAATTTAAAACCATCTTAAATCTTCATGTTGGTGTATTTACTGGGTTGTTTTCATTGAATTTTTGCAAGCTTAATGAGTAGTTTCAATAAAAAATTTCTACTTATTTACCTGGAATTTATTCGACATTTGAGTTGCTCACATAATTTATACATTTATAAGCTCTAAATTCCACATTAGCTTTTCTACTCTTATTCTGTATTTCGAATTTGCTTGCTCTGTTTCTTACAAAGTGGTGTTGTACTATGCAGGCAACTAGTGCCCTTAGCCATCCAGTCTAATTGAAAGCCTTTTGAGGTAATTTGAGATCGAAATTGATAAATTTGATTGAGACATTTTTATTTTTTAATATTTTTTTATAATTTATGTATTTGTGATTTGTCGATGAAGATTTACTAATTAGATCTTCATATTCAAGTTTTGCTAACATTTTTTTTTTTTCAATTGATAATATGGCTAATTTACTGTTATTATAAAATATTTTTGAAACTGTCATCATCTAGTGATTTTAATTTTTAAAATTAAATAAAAAAATCAACAAATCCTTTCAAAGAAATAAATCAAACATGA